AAATTCGAACTAGTCTAAAATAGTTCTTTTAACTATATATTCATTAAATTTAGTTATTTAATTATTCAAAAATATTAGTATTAAATTTGATCTTTTAATTATACACTTATTATTTCAAGTCCCTTAATTATATACTTACTGATTTTATTTCTTTAAATATCTAAAATTTATCTGATTAGGTCTCTATTTATTTTTTTACAAATAACAGAGGTTTTAGGTTTATATTAACACAACTCATGTTTTGAAATTGAATTTTTAACTCATTTTTCAGTTATTTTTCTCTTCTCGCTATTTTTTCTTCAAATTATTTTTATGAAAAGAATCTTAAGATTCATAATAAAATTTACGAGGAAAGAAGATATATGTCATGATTTTTTTCAATAAAGAATAAAGTGTTCTAATGAGTTGAAAATACTAAAATTTATGATTAAAAAAATTAAAGTGATTATTCATTAGGTGTAAGGAGAGATTTATTTATATTTAATAGAAATGAATTTCTTGGAATGAAAATAAAATTAAAAGTTTAGTATATGGATGCACGATATAATAGAAGATTAACAAGTAAGAAGATATCAAGAAAATTAAAATTGACACAACTAAAAGACATGTGTATTTGGGTTGTTTATGTTATTCAACTTCTCTTTGAAGTTGTACTAACGAGTTATGAACCCGTTGATATACGACCTTCATTAAATAATAATTCAGGCTTCAGGAATACTGAATACCAAATGATAATGTCTCATACCAAACCCAAATTCAAATACCATAATTCTAAAATTTTACTCCCGAATATCATACCTAATATCGAATTACCCAACCAAATTATCAAAAAAATTGATTTAATTCGATAATTCGATAATTCAATTTTCGGTATTTTATACCCAACTCTAATAATTAGTACTCTTCACAGGAAATAAAAATTGTGTTGTGTCTAAAGTTTTTTTTTTGTAAAAAAAAAAAAGGCACAATTTTGGTTCTTTTCTCTTGTTGTGTCTATAAAAAAAAAGGAAAAGGGTTCAAAACACATCCAAACTATGGGCGAAATTGTTGTTACACATATGAACCTTGCGGGGGTCCTATGACCCCAGACTTACTTTTAGTATATTTTTATGGGTATTATTTGCCTAGTCAAACTAGAAAGTCACTCAAACTTAAACGTTTACCTACATGCGCGTTCACAAAATATCTTAGTCAAGGAAAACGTTAGAAAATAGGGAAAATAGGGAAAATAGGTCAGCGACTTTTCATCTTCTCTTTCTCACAAATTCAACTTTAATCACATAAATCTTTCACTTTGAACCAACTGATTCAAAGTTGTTGCTTGCATTTTGGTGGGTGTGTATTTCAGATTTTTGGATTCAACCTTTCCATCAATTGACGATTTCATTGTCTATACAAATCTTATTCAAATCCAATTTTACCTCTTCCATAGCTAACCCTAATTTTATACAGAAAAATCGGATAAGAAATTAGAAGCCCTAAACACGAATATAAACAAAAAAAAATTAAAAAAATTAAAAAAAATAATAATCAAAGCTTACCTCTTCAATCCTCTTCAACGATTTTGAGCTTTCAAAGAGGGCAATGTGTCTTTAATGGAGGTTTTAGTGAAGAACAACGGCTACATTGGAATATTTAATGAAAAAAATGGTGAATAAATATAGGTTACAATAATTTTAAGTCCATCCTCACACGCCTCTTATACGTTCGTCTACTTGTTGGTCTGACTAAGCAAATAATACCCATAAAATATACTAAAAGTAAGTCTGGGGGGTCATAGGACCCCCGCAAAGTTCATATGTATAACAACAATTTTGTCCATTGTTTGAGTGTGTTTTGAACCCTTTTCCCTAAAAATAACAAAGAAAACAATAAAATTAACGAATTTAAAATAGATTTTAAGTATGCATAGTTCGTCTTCTTTTCACTATAAATATAAATTCTCCTCTTTCTAATCTCTTGTTTTCTTTCTACGTTAATAAAAATAGTTTGAAGAAAGAAACATCACAATTCATACTAAAACATAAATTTGAATAGTCAAGTCATTTCGAATTCAAAAAGATAACTAAATTGTACAAAATAAATATTTAGATTCATTTTAAATAGCAATGTTTTTAATAGGATATTTTCTATTTTTAAGGTCTCAAATGAAATTTTTGATTAAGAATAAAGGGATCTGAACCATCCCATTAAATATGATTCATGTTGATGGAAAAAAAATAATTAATCATTAAAGCATCAAATGGAAGTTGCAAGGCTGGTGATAAACCCAATTGTAATTTCTATCTTAAATTAGGTGTATTCACACTCAAATTAGTTGGGTAAAATAACAGGCCTCTCAAGTTTCGTTTTTTTCTTTTTCTAAAGAAAAATAAAATAAAAAATAAAAAGTAAAATTATTATTATAATATATTTTAAGAGAAAGTAATAGAAAACAAAGAAACGGAAAAAAAGAAAAACAAAATTATTTCCTTGCATCTCCAAATGTATTGGTTTCATATTTTGACTATCAAAATAACGTGTCCTGAGAAATTGTCACGACTCAGACCGTCGTGATTGGCACCCACACTAACTCTCCGGTGGGAGAACCACTACTACAACTCAAAGCAAGCAACTAAACCAAAACTAAGGCATTTAAGTTACGGAAGCAAGTTAAATACTAAGGAAATAAATAGGGAGTTCCCATAAACTCCAACAAGAACTAAACAATGCGGAAGAAACAACCTAGAACCTGAAAGTCAATGTACCAAAACATCTAAAGTTCAACAAGTCTAAACAAGAAGGGATGCAACCCCAATCTAATGAACTAATCAAACTAACTAGAACATAGTCTAAGTTCGAAAATGGTGCACATAGACGAAAGAGAACTCATGGTAGCCCGGAAGAATTGGCTCACCCTTGAATTCGAACGATCACTGATCTCCTAAGCGAGGTCTGTCAGTAGCCGCTTGAAGATGCCATGTACTCAACAAAATAAGAGCAAGTGCAGTATCGGTACACAACCACAGTGTACTGGTAGGATCACGCAGTTATCCCACTAAGTGTAACATACATAAGTCATCACAACAATATAATCATATGCATATGACGAACATATACAATATCATCAACATATACGAACAATGAACAACTTCACATTTCTCAAGATACGCAATTATATCAAATCATTGGTCCTCTCATGGAACCCAAACACAAATAGTTAGCATACCGGAACGTGGTACCCGATCTAATGATTATGGTGGAACGTGGCAACCGATCCCATAATTATGCCGGAACGTGGCAACCGATCCAAGTTAGTTATGCCGAAGCGTGGAAACCGATCTATTCAACACACCACAATCACAATCACAAGTATATCCTCAAGATCATACAATTAAGTCATAATTTCATGGTAACCATCATCCATTTATCTCATTTACAACAAGTGTGATCAATAATGCAACATTCATATACATATATGTATCATAATGAAGCAAGTTCGTTCCTTAGCTCTAAAAGTTGAAAAGTGCATAATAAGGTCGTTTAGGGGTTTTTTACGACCTTAAGTCGCGTCGAACCCGTCACAGTTGCCCTCACTCCGCTGCAACGGCCTCGCCAGAGCGACACCAATCCCGTTAAAGCGGCTTGCACGAAACCAGTGAGCTATTTAAAGAATTCCAAAATCTGCATTTCACAACACACCTCTAACCAACGACGCTCAAAAATACCCTTTACGCTAAGATCGATTTCGGGAGTTCTACTCGCCCGAATTTAATTTCGTAAAGTTGTACGGGTTCCTTAACGAGTTATCTAACTACTCATGCAATCAAAATCATAAATAATTCTCCCGATTGTTACCAATTTTTCCTACACCTTAAAGACTCCGATTTCGTCCAAATCTGGACTAGGTTGGGAAAATTCAATTACTATAAAAAAAGTTTTTCGTCCCCAATTTTTCCCCTGTTGGCTTTTCTATAACAACGGGAACAAGTCGATACAGAAAGTTAATAATGACTAAATCAGACAACAAAAATTTTACTAAAAATATACTATTTAATATGATTATGACCTACCTATTAAAAAGCTAATATAAGAATATAATAATACTTATTGAGAGAATAATTTCTCCTTAGACAAATATTCTTAAATATAATATAATATTTATTATGATGGTGTTGTGGTGTTTGGTATATGTGTATGAGAAGGAAGAATCTTTCATTTATGAAAGTCTAAAAAAATCCACCAAGAAATTGGTCAAAATATGAAAAATATAATTTTATATTTTGAAAAAAGAAAGCTCAATGTAGGGTAAAATTCAAATAAAATAAAATTTCAGGATAAAATTTAACACCATATGCAATAAAAAGTTTTAATTATATAGTTTTTCATATTATTTATCTTTTTTCTATCAATAATATAAGAGGTAAAACTTGATAAAAAATAATCTTTAAACCCAATATAACAAATTGTTAAATAAATAAACTTGAATGGAACTTTAAAATATAATTTAAAGTAATCAAATACTCCTTTGTTATATTTTATGTGATAATATATTATACTTGACAATTGGTAATAAGTTAAAAGAAAAAATAATTGACTTACATAATATATCAAAGATGATAGAAGAAAGTATAAAATAATGAATAGAAATCGAACAAACATTGTATTTAAATGCATGTATAAGTAATTTAGTAAATTTAAATTATTAAAAGTTGTTTAAAAGTTTTAAATAATATCATACATTTCAAACATTCCATAACAAAACAACAAACATATATCAAATCATATGTCTCAATTTATTTATCTGATTTGATTTGATCTAAATAATAACATTAAATTAAAAATAAATTAAATATATCAAAATATTCTTTAATTCTGTGATCTCAAAGTTAAAATTTTATTCTTTTTAATGAAATAAATAAATTGAAACAAAAAACATTAGTTAAATAACAACAAAAATATTATAATTAGTAAAATAAATAATAATAAACAAATCGTCAGGCTGTTAGCATTATTTGGCTGCTTAGAGAGTTGACCAGAAAACGCGGGAGTCCACGTGTATTCAAGTACCCGATTCGTACCCGACCCGAATACCCATTTTCGTCGGATTCAGTATTCTACTTCTTCTTCTTCTCTGGTCTCAATTGACCAAAAATTCTTGCTCGAAAGTGCCCTAAAACCCCTTTTGTGTATACAAAGTTTTATATATACGTTTTTATTTTTCAGTTATACAATTTTCAGGCTTCTTGCACAGGGAAGAAAACTATCAATGGATGATCGTGACGATGATTTGAAAATTCTGCTCTCAGCTTTAAAGGGTACTTTTTTTTAATTTTTCAACCCTCTTTTTGTTGATAGAAATTCAATTTGTTTGGTAATTTTTGATTGTTTAGGAGCTGAATCGAACAAGATTGTTTTTTTCTTTGATATATGGAAACTGGGGGAAGAATAGTTTTTAGTTCTAGTTCTTTTCAATACGTGAAAAATTGTATTTTTGAATGTTGGTCAAATTTAGTTTATTGAATCTTGGAAATGATAAGTGTTGAGCAGTTTAGGTTGACGTAGTAGTATTTATTGTTCTTTTTTTTTTTGGTTATGTGTGTTTTTACTTGTATGCATTACTACATGTATTGGCATAATCATGTTGAATCTTGAAATAGATGGTGGCATGTATGTTGGAGAGGAGGAGGAGGAGGAGGAAGAAGACGAGGAGGAGGACGAAGAGGATGATGAAGATGAAGATGTTCATGATGATAATGTAAAGACGGATTTGGCATGCCCATTTTGTTCAGAAGACTTTGATATGCTTGGATTGTGCTGTCACATTGATAGCGAGCATCGGATAGAGGCTAAGACCGGGGTAAACCATACCTATGTTTTCTTTTGTGTTCATGTTTGGAAGATTGTTTGGCTTTGTCTTTCTATTTGATAATTTTGATAAGAGATATTGCTCTTGAAGGGTTTGAAATAGGATAGGGAGACTAACCCTCAGAACCTGTAGTTCATATGTGCCGTAGGAGGTTATCTTGAGGTTCATTAGTTGTTGATTGTGTGACTACCTCAAACTTTTGGATTAACCAGTTGTATCAGGTAGAGGTATTGAGTTTGAGTCTCACCTGCCTACATAAAAAAAAAACATTTCCAGGTTGCGTGAAAAAGAATTCAGCTGCAAGCGAAAGAGTGTAGTGCAGGCCTAAATAGATAAAGTAATATGCTCCCTGTAAGCTTTTAAAGAGTTCACTCGATAAAATGTGAAAAACTAGTATGGAACTCTATACACTTGGCAATCAAAAGAGAGGGTTTTGGGAGAAAGGTGCTTCTATTAAATCTACACCGAGCTGAAATCCCCAAATAGTATCTTTCTTTATGTGATGATACTTCGCAAAACAAATGCCTAATCAGGTGAAAGCTATGGGAGTGCATGCTTAAGTTTTTGTAATCTTGGGAATTAGATACAAAAACCTTCAATGGTTTGACATATTTGTGGCCTGTCTCTATCTGAGATCATTAGGTACTTCAGTGTTGCGTGAAATTATCTGAATGGTCAACTTAGTTTTAGGCTTAGCCTTTTGAAGTCTGAATTTTTTTATAACTGGTGTTTCTTTTTCTTCAGATATGTCCTCTATGTGCTACCAAGGTGCGAACAAATATGGCTACACACGTCATCGTGCAGCATGAAAGTATATTAAAAATATCCTTCACTTCCTATATTCCAATTTATCAGTTCCACACGGGAATGGATAGAGATAGGAGTTATTATTTTTCATAGCTGATTGTAAGAGAATAGCAAATCAAGCTACTACAATTTCTACCACTTGCATATTCTCTTGGTTGCAGTGTATCTTGAAACTTGTTCTTTATAGTTAATTGGGAAGATAATATCGAATTTCTTGGGGTTGAGTGTCAGCTCACTTGCTGAGCTCCTTACCTTCCACAATTGAGGTGGAGGGTTCAAATCCCATTATAAGCTTACATGCATTTCCTTCTTTTCTATTCTCCCTCCCTGGTGTATTTTTTTTCAAAAAAAAAAACTTTTTTAAAACATGATATTGAATTTCCCATGTTGATATCTGGAATAATGACCTTGATATTTGCTTAGATGGTGAACTGGCATGAGTAGTCAAGTGGCTACTTAATTTTTCTCTGTGCACTGTCTGCATAGTTCATAACTCCAATATCTTGCTCAGTCATTATATGTGCAAAGGTAGTGGCAGATGTTCTTCCTTCTTTTTGTCTCAGTAAAATTAAGTTTTATTAATATAGCTGTACTAAATTAACTTTGCTGCTTCCAAAGGTTATAAACTTTGCCATCAATCCTTTTCAATAAAAATACAGAAACTTTGACCTCTTTCATGTTTTTTGTTTTTTTTGAGTTTTTTCATAGAGCATGAATTTGCATCTTTCTTTAGGAGAAATGAATATTATATTTTATTTATCATAGAACACGTGGAGCTTTAAGTTGATTCACCTTAACACAAGCTTACGCACTTTGCAAAAGGAAACATAGAAATGGTGGATCTTTCTCAGCCTTATCCTTACTGAGGAAAGAGTTGTTGAGTGTTTATTTGGAAAAGAAGTCCAGCCATGTTAGTTCTTCCTCAAATACGGAAACCAACCAGCTACTGTTATCATTTGTTGGCAATCAGCAGCCTGCCAAAAGATCTCCTACAAGACAGCCCTGCACTTCAGCCGAACCAAGTCTATCCAAGAACAGCCTAGATGACCATATTAGTGAAAGGTAAGAAGGTTATTATGTTTTAATTTCTGCATCATCTTCATAGTTTGTTTCCCTGTTTTCTGTCATCATATGCCAACATGAAATGTCACTAACTATTATCATGATGAAAAACAACAAGTTAGTGGACAAAAGAAAGCTGGATCTATAGGATTAAGTACCTAATATTCTACCATTTATTAGAAGCTTGTTTTCCATCAATTATTGTCATTACTACGAACTAATTGAAGAACAACATGTTGTAACTAAATTCAAACTTAGAATCGGACTTGAAATGATTGCTGAGACAACTGGAGCACACAGATAGCTAATAATAAATGCCTCAATTTTTGCTTGGTTGAATTTCGCTAAGTGGAGTTCATGGAAATGGATAATTATCTATACTGGGAATTGTTACTTGGATTTTCTTTTGATTGCTGCATTATTGTAATTGTACGCATTGCATTTCTGGATTATGCCAGTAGTGAGCTTAGCGGTAAGTTAGATGAATTCAAGAACAAGGCGTCCTTAGATATTTTGCCTATGCTGGATTTGTAGGAGTACTTTACATATATCTCGAATTGTGAGAGAACCAAATCCAGCCATTTGCAAGGAGTGGGGTAGGAATACCAATGCTTGATCCCTGAGTTTTTGGATTTTGTTTTTTCCTTGCAATGGAAAACACTCTAGATCCATTTGCTAAAAGGTGAAAATGCCTCAGTCAGAAGGTTTTTAACATAGAGCCAACTTCGAGAATCATGGAACCTCTTTTGTTTTGTGATTTCGACCAAATTTATAACTTTCTTATCACAGAGAACAGTAGGGCAATAAAAAGGTGATTTATGCATCTTCTCTTTAAATTTGTCAGAGAGAATCTGCTTAGCGCCACCAGGAAAGGTTGAACCTGATAGCTGAATCCTGATGCTTCCATTCAAAAGTTCACTCCTCCTTTTCTTCCTAACTTCATTTCTACTAGATTTCTTCTTGACAATTCATCGTCCTTCTTCAATTTGTCCTTTCATCAGTTTAATGCCTTCCGTTTTTCTAATTGTTCTAGTGATTCGCACATTTATTCATTAGCCCTATGGCAAACACCCTCCTGAACTAAACCTTCACTGACAAAGAAGCTGGTTTATTTTTAATTCTGATGCTCTTTTCCTTCAATTGGCAAGATCAGTGTTTTTCCTTCATGAATAACTCGAGTATAGATAGAAATAAAGATTATTTGAAATGAACATAGCAGGAAGCATGTGATGAGAATGTACTACATAACCGATGATTGGTCTTTCTCCAAAATGTTTTAGCTTGGGAAGCTAGAAAAAGTTTTTGTTCAAGTGTCCATGGAGCTGAATTTGGAACTTGAGTGTTTTGAGAATATTAGCTGCATCTTTTCCTCACTTGATTATTGCTACATGTTATCCTAAGTAGCATGTATTATTTTTTTTGATTTCCTGCTATCTCCTAACTTTAATGTGCCTGGATTGAAAAAAGTTTGACTCCTTTTATTTCATTCAAAACCTTGTCAAAGAAGCTCCCAAGCATTTCCTTCAATGGACAAGGATCAGGAAGAGAAGGTCCAGAGATCTGAATTCGTGAAAGGACTATTGTTCTCCACCATACTCGAAGACTGGTTATGAAATTGAACCACCCTGCTGCTTTTCCGTTCTATGGCTAACTAGCACAGAAGCTTTTTGAAGATGCTCCTCGATACATGCTGATAAATTTACTAGCAGCTAGAGGCTGTTAATTAGATGGAGTTAAAGCTTTCCTCGTCTCCTATTGACTTGCTCCCATTTGGATGACGTGGTTGCTTATGTGAAGATATGTCCAATTGATATGCTTTAACAGAAGAACTTGTTTCAAATGACGTGACTTTGGCATGCTATTTCTTTTTCCTTTTTTTTTTCTGCCAACTGATGTAGCATATACTATGGCTTCTTGACTATATATATCCCCGACTAAAAAACAGAAGTTCTTCATTCTTATAGTCAGATCCAAAATGATTTGATTATGAAGTAGCATGTTTACAGTTATTGTCACATTCTGCAAAAGAAATTAGATGTAATTCTTTCGATTCATTGTGATGACTATCAGGTGCAAGTTTCTTCAGCTTTGTTGTTGTAGTCCCTAGCTTCATGCTATTTTATCCTTGTATTAGTCTCAAAGTAGAGTGAATAGAGGTTCAATGGGGTTATGACTTGAATGTTGTTTGAGAATTATCTAAAGTGAGTTCTATAAGTTGGGTCATGAAAGACTTAGAGGTGTTTTACTCGCAAGGGTGGCCGAGTTGGTTGAGCAAGTGATCTCCGGAATGGGAGGTCTCAGGTTCAAAATCCTTTGCAAGACATTCTCAGTTGTGATTGTTGCATAGAACTTCCTAGTGCGGTAAACCTCTCTAGTTTGGGGTTGGTAGGTTGTAGACTGTCTCGTGCGCATATGAAGGGTAGCGGTTGTGGGTTCTCTTGTCAACAAAATGACTTAAACGAATGCAAGGGTGGTCGAGTTGGTTGAGCAAGTGATCTCCGGAATGGGAGGTCTCAGGTTCGAAACCCTTTGCAGACATTCTCAGTTGTGTTTGTTGCGTAGAATTTCCTAGTGCGGTTTACCTCTCTAGTGTGGGGTTGGTGGTCGGCAGACTGTTCATGCGCATCTGAAGGGTAGCGATTGCGGGTTCTCTTGTCAACAAAATGACTTAAACGAATGTTCCCTTTTTCCAGTCATCATAAGCACTCACTTTCTACCTTTATCAAGATTTACTTTTGTATTTGTAGAAGTTTTGCTACTTCCCGACACCATTTTTGTTGAACACAGAGTTCAAAACGTTACATTTTATCTTTATAGAAAAAAAAAATCTAATAAGTCATGGTAAAGAGAGGATATTAAATTAGTTATTGAAAAGTCACTTGGAGTAAAAATCACTTCAATTTAATTTGAATATTTCATCAAGTTTTCAGGTTTGTATAAGTTACAAAGAAACATTGTTCACCAAAACGGTTTTAACATTTTATGATATTCTAAAGGCAAAGCATGAATATAAATTGTCGCAAGATTACAGGATATACTTCTTTCACTGAATAAATATTTTCTTGTGACCAAATTGAATGAAAGAAAATGACATTTTCAAATCTTTTAGCCTTTTAGGTATAAAAATGATCTCTTGTAAAAAATTTATAAAACTAAAAATGAGTTTGTAAAGAAATACATTTTGGTAGTTAATTATATTGGGATTAGTGTCTTGTATTATAACATTTTGACCAAAATTAGTCAATGTTGGTAGTTAATTATATTGGGATTAGTGTCTTGTATCCAAATTCCAATCTAATAGTACTAAATATTGGCACCAGGTTTTCTATGCCTTCATCCTGGAAAATAGTTGTTTTTCCTTCTCACTATTCCATTAAACCTTGCGCTTTGTATGTGAGTAGAATATCACACACACACACAGAAAAAAAAAACACTAAAGCTCCACCATAGTTACCAACCCAATCCACAGAGTGTTGTGTGGTTACTGAAGATATTGGTACCTAAACCTCTTATCCATTGCAGTTCCTACTTCCCTACTTCACTTATAAGTCATTGAACTGGATTCTACTGCTGCAAAGAAAAAGCACCACTCATGCACCGCAGGTTTGTGAAGACAGATTCTTGTCTTCTCAAATTTCAGAGTTGAGCCAACTGATTTCAGTAGTCTCCCTCTCTCCCTATACTTCGAACTGAAACTCTTCTTCAGACTCAGGTTCTCTAGCTTCTATTCTCGAGGTACACAGATCATTTCAGCTAAGACTCTACTTAGCATGCAAGAAAAGAGTAAGTATGGAGAAAGATATGACCCTTAAAATTTGATCATGATCCTATCAAATAGCAGCATTTTGCCTTGTGCACAAACTCAGAAAATCATTCAGCTGCATATGCAGCTCTTGACATGAACGTCTGTAGAAGTTCGGAAATACTTGGTACCATAGACCAAAGTCAAGATCTTCTAAAACAGAGTTACAGCACAACATTCTAAGGAAAGAATGCAGCATATTGGTTGTATGCATTTGACAAACTATAAGAAGTATTTCTATCAATCTGTATGTGCAATCCAAAATACAGGTTCCAAATTTTTCGTCACTATCACTTGTCAAGAACTTCTGCTCCTGACTGAACAAAGACATCATCCCTATCCATAACAGAACATAATAATGTTTCAGCCACCCTAGCAAAGCAAAACAGGCAGGGTAACAAGGGATGAGGATTCCTGCCACATTTCAGGAAACAATCATAAAGTACAACGAAGCAACTTTTCCACAGTGAGAGTCAAATAGACTCACTCTTTGAGAGTTCTCAGGCCTGTCCAAGCTTTTCTCCTTCAGTTCAAAACAAAAACCTTCCACACTACTAGAATGGAAGGCTTAACGGAGATATGGATCTTTGACCAAGCTTTAATTGGTGTCAGAATCTGGGGTATTAGATCTCAAAACTGTTCAACCGAACTGACAATCTAAACTTCTCCCCACTGATCAGCAGAAAATTAGGAGCATCAACAGCTGTGTCATTTCCAAGGAGAATAGTGCATACGGAAAAACTGGTAATCAGGAAGGATTACGTGCAAGCGCCGAAGCCAACTGTCTGCATCTTGCAATAGAGAATTTTCTTGCTCGGATTCATGAGGTCCACCAGGACTCAAGATTGAGGTTTTCAGTTTGTATGTAGCAAGACCAAAGACTGGTAAAGAAATTCTTGAGCATGCATTTACATTTCCAAGAACTTTCCTACCAGTTGCACCATGATAGCGTGGTTGAACTGTGCTCAAAGCTGGGAAAATGACAAAAACATTACTTCAGAATAAGCACCGGGAAGTAGAAATCCACATGCATAAAACAAATACATATGTTGTGCACACTGAGACTGGACAGGACATACCTCTTGATTGCGTGGACAAAGTATGAAAGGTTAGAAAAGAAGCATCCAAATCCCGCAATGTTGGACCCATGGGTATTCTATAAATTGGATACCTATAATAGACTGTGTCAGTTGCAAACTAAAATGCAAAACAAGAGCTTCAAATATCTTCATCATGTTGCAGATTACTCTCGACTCCTACAGAATTTTCAACATACCAAGCTACAGAAATCCAACTAGAAGGCAGTAAATCAGCGCTCCTGCAGGTCTTCAGCTCTGGAAATTGAGATGCCAAAACTGCTATCTGATAAAGAAAAGAAGAATGCAGAAAAAAACACCCATTTAGGATTAAAATGTGAATTTTTCTTAAACACTAACAAGTGATGTACCTTGTCAGCCAATGGTCTTCGATGATGTGGTTGCTCATGCTCCAAATACTCAAACATGAGTTGCCCAAGAGACTTAGAAATTTCAGTTTCATCACTCGATGACACCGTGACAGCCTTGTCGCTCAATGATAGTCTATTTAGTCGTTGAGCATTTAGATTTACAAGACTATGCTGGTTCCGCAGCCCATCAGAAGAGGATATGGACCGCCTCTCCACTTCACAGTCACTGCTTCCACCACTGCTGGTCTCCCTTGATGACTCAGCATCACCCTCTTCACCAGGCCTGCTGGACAAAACAGGAGCACAAGATACAAGGTAGGATAGAAGTTAAATACCCAGACGCACCACATTCAAGTTACCTTTAGGTGAAAGAAAGAAATATTACCTAAAATATCAAATTAAATTTCACATTAACAATCATACAAGTAAAACAGACCGTTAACATGCAGCAATCAGTTCTTACTCGGTTTACAGCTTAGTTCTGGAGAACATATCCAGATAAGTACTAAAAGAACAAGTTTCAACATCATACATGGAAGATGTACCGAGTGCCAATTTACTTTAGTCACTTCAGTAGCTAAAGAGGGTTTCTAAAGTTCTGAAGCTAACCTAGTTTCTCACTGAACCATTTTCAGGTGCTGTTCCAGGTTCCAATCTCACAGGTATCAGTTATCACAATAAAATAAACCCTAGAACATTTGGAATACTGCTAATTTGGCATGTGTGTTTCATTACCATGGAATGGTAAAATCATGAAACAGATCATGAATCTCTAACAAAAAGCATTGCACTAGCCTATGGAAAGTACCAAACAGATAAAAAATCCAAAGTTGTCGATACAAAATTTTGCCTTGAAACCAAAAAATTTAGTTTCATGAAAAGGATTAGCAGAACCAACATGAGTTGCAGAAGTTAGTTCAGAAACTTGTGAACTGCTGGGTGCCCTAAAAAAGTACATCCACCATTTACAAAGCAAGGGAATCGCCGAATAACCTATCCAGGTAAGACAGTAGGGTGAAGTCAACCCCCATAACACACCCTTTACAGAGCAGAAAGATAATAATAGTAAAATAAGGAGAGAGAACCATGCATTTACTTTCAGAAACAAATGTTAATCCAATCGAGTAAAAAAGGTTTTAAATGGTTAGCGAGATGACGTAGAATATACTAAAATACAGCTACTAGTTCAATAATAATAAAGCTTAAAGGGAACCCAGACTAGAATCTCAACAATGCTCAAGCAAGTCATGACAAATGTGATTAAAAAAAACTTGTGTTGTAGCAACAAAACATGTTTATCATTTCATTATAACTTTTTAAAGATTAACAAGTATCAGCAGGAAAACAGAAATTACAAGCAACATACAAAGCTGACCACGAATTTATTCAAAGATCAAATGGAACTTTGATTTGTACATGGAATGAGTCAGCTAAACACAGATATTACTGATGCTTAGGTACTTATAACTCTTGCAAGAACTTTTTCCACAAGCAAGTTATGAGCAAATTTAATCATCCAGTCCACATTGAATCTGGCACTGTTGGAACACAACAGCCTCAACTAGTGCAATATGACCATACTACCTACTATCTATTTATTTTTTTAATTATATTACCTGATATTTGTTTCATTAAGACCTTGTGGTGAGTATGATCAAGAGAGCAAGAAAGTGAAACAGTACTACTTGCTAGTTTGACTTCTGAGATATCTTTTTCACACGGACAAGAATTCCTTTCGGGATAATTGAGGACCGGCAAGCGCAAGTACTCAACAGCACATGAAG